ACATCATGTCAGGGGAAAACATTAGTCCGCGAAGGAGTCCCTCTCCTAGGGGTTAGCATCAGCCATGCTGATGGAAGGCAGAAAGGATTTTCTCAAACGATTAAAAGAGAGTAGTTACGTTTTGGAGGCGTTAAAATAAGCCATCGTTACCCCAATAGAATTAGGTCATCTTTGAGATCAGCTGCCAATTTGATCTTATCGAATCGAAAGGAATAAATAGTTGTGTCACCAGTATAGATACCGAGTTGAGAACTGATGACATCAGGAAGGTAATTTATGAAAATTAGAAATAACCCGCGTCCAAGTATAAAGCCCTGGAGGGACACCTGCATTAATACAAAAAGATCTAAATGTGTGGCCATTTCATTTTACCATTTGATAAGAAAGACTGAATCAGTTCAAAAATTCCTCCAGAAATACCATAACCTTTCAACTTATGAAAAAGACTAGTATGACTTCGAGATATCCAAAGCAACAGCTCGACCTTCACCATTCTCATCTAAAGCTTGATAGTCTCTTTCAGCAGTAATACATTAGTAGTTGATCTAGAGAAGCGAAAGCCATGTTGCTTATCTAAAATGAGACGAGGTGAGATGCTTAACCAATTCAATTAGAGCCCCTAGCACTTTGCCAAAATGTGTTAGAAGTCTAATAGTTAGAAGGATTAGATAGTTTGCCTGATTTTCTAATGACTGGAACTACAGAAGAGGATTTCCAACAAGAAGGAAGACAAGAAGTAGCAAGACATCTATTGTAGAGTTTAGAGAGAACAGGAGCCAGTTCAGGCGCACATTTCTTAAGGACTACTGCAAGGATACAATTAGAGATTATAGCAGAAATATATATATTATTATATATTATATTAATATATAGTATAGCAGAAATATATAATCTTAATTTAAAGGAAACCAGACAACTTTAAGGTTCCATGGTTATAATTTATTTCCCCAGAGAGTTATACATACACATACATATTTACACACACACACATATATATATATATATATATATATATATATATATATTTCTTTTGAATTTTCGGTTAACGTTTGATAGTAATTTAAGTGTTTAAATTATCCACAAAATAAATTAGGTATAAAAAATAAAAAATTACTAATTTTAATATTTTTAATATTGTGAATAACGGTTAAGGAGTAATATTTCTTAATTAAAATCTAAGTCATCAATTTAATTTGAAACTATTTCGAGATGAGTAATATTTCTTTAAGTCTGTTTTCAAATCTAATTTAAAACTATTTCAAGATGAAGTAAGATTTGAAGTTAATAATAAAAATGTGTATCTTTACATTTAATCTATATATATATACACAAACATATACGCATACATATCTTATACTTATATTCATACATATTTATTTATATATATATATATATATATATATATATATATATATATATATATATATATATCTTATACATATACAGTTACATATACAACGACATACGCATGTATTGATACATATACATACAAAACCTTACATACACACACACACACACACACACACATATGTGTATATATACATATTTACACACGCATCCATACATATATACACATATATACATTTACAGATGAATGCACATAGATATATATACACATGCATGCGCATATACACATCCTTATACATACATATACGTACCCGCACATATATATGCATATGCGCGTGCGTGTATACAAGCATCCTCACAACGAAATACAAGCCAATAAATACTTCCAGATATAAACATCTACATGCATATACACCAACATATGTATATGCTTGTAATTACCATATGGACACCTATAAATATTAGCCTAATTGTAAGGATATATATCAGTGCACATATGCCCATATACAAATGCATATATATTATAATATAAATGATAGTTTGTATAGATAGACATCGGGTATTATTTGAAATATTGATAATTTAAACATTCAAACTTTCAATGGACAGGTTTTTTATATGTAGTTAGTTATATTGAGATGATTTCTGTGTCTGCATTTAAAGATTATCTCATCGTGTTGATTGAGTAACTCTTCAGGATAGTTATGCTTGATATATACTAAAAAGAAAAGTAGTAGGCAAGACTAGTCAGGCCAATGCTTGGATATTTTTTTAAGTGCTCAATACACAATTCAGAGAAATTGAATTTGTAAAGCTGGTAATAAAAGATAAGTTTCACAAGTAACTGCCCTGACAAAACCGTAAGGTAGAAACTGAGGTAGTGCGTTGCGCGTGAATTTTTTCTAAACATATATAAACTATTCAGGGTGTGCGCGAGCTTGGCTGTCCACAATTTCCTGATTTTTGTTCTTTTTAATAACATTTGTTCCTTTATGAGGCTTCTTTTCCGACGTCTGTTCCATCACTGATTTGCTCAAAATCCTCAAGTGACATACACCCTGTTTTACTTTACTTCTTTGCCTTCAATGTGATCTGTGTGTGTTACATTCTCCAAGCCTTCTTTCTTCGTTATGTCTACCCTACATTTCAGTTCTTTCCTTCTAATTGTTAACATCTGATCTTTTATCTTTCCTGTTCTTCTCCAATTTATTCGTTTCTCAAATCTTCTGCCCATTGTATTTGCAATATTCGGTGAGAGTGCCAAATTCCCTGTCGCTTCAAGTTGTCTCTTCATTCCTGATTAAATTACCCAGCATTCACTGTTGTATTGGAGACTCGACATTAAACAGCAGTCGAACATTCTTTTTTTTTTATTCTTCATGACATTTTCCATTCATTATTATCTAGCAGTTTAAATTTAAGAACGACTTATTTGACTTATTTTAAGAATGTTTATTCGTCTCAGGGCTCAGCAAAAGCGACGACCCACAGGTTGCATGGAGCCCGTCTAATAATTTTATGCGACCCACAAGATTTCAAAACTTTTTTTAAAGTCCATTAAAATCTTTGGTTATATGTTGCACAAACTAGTAATCTATTCAAAACTTGAAAAAAGAATAAAAACAGAAACCATTTACACTCAGGATTCAATTGTTTTTATGGGGAGAATAATACACCATTATCTGCTCTTTGCAAAGTTGGCCACATCACAATAACAATACGATTTTCCCCAAGTGTAAATAACAATTCTACATGAGCGTGTTATTTGTACATTTATTTACTTATTAGACACATTTTATAGAGCTATTGTTCTTGCCACTCTCCTATGCGGCTCAGTCATTGGTCACTTACCGACACCACCTGCGACTCTTCGAATGGTTCCACCAGGGATGCCTCCACACAATCCTTAACATCCACTGCAGTGACTTTCACCAATATTCACACTTCACCAATATTGAACTCCTTAAACAAACGAAGATTACCAGCATCGAAGCCATGCTGGACACGTTTCCAGGATGGAGAATCATCGCCTGCCTAAAATTTTATTGTACATCGAGCTCTCAATTGGCTATTGCAGGAGACGGGTCTCAAAGAAGCAATATATATAACCATTGACAATAGTTGATGTGACAGGCACCAAAGTATTGAAATATTGAAGTCCTTGAAAGAGTGAAGATCACCAGCATTGAGGCCATGCTGCTGAATTCCTAGCTACGCTGGGCTGGACACGTTTCCAGGATGGAGAATCATCGCCTGCCTAAAATCTTATTGTACGCCGAGCTCTCCACTGGCTATCGCGACAGAGAGGAACCAAAAAAGCGATTTAAAGATTGCCTGAAAAAATACTTTGGTGCCTGTCATATCACCCATTGCCAATGGTCAACCATAGCTGAGAACCGTGACGCCTAGCATCTCACCACCAACCTTCCTGCTTCCTCCTTTGAAAATACCCACAGGGCCGTTCTTAGGGACAAGAAACGGAGGAGGAAGTACTACAATGCTGTGTCATCGAGCCCAGACCCCGGACTTTCAGCTGTTTGTGCTATCACCGTGTATGCCTGTCTCGCATTGGATTTATCAGTCACAAGCGTCCCTGCAAGCGACGTCTACAGACTCTCTTTATCTTCGTTTTACGAACCCAAACCAAACCATGAGAAACATTTTATGAAAAGTCTTTGAGAAATTAGTTTCATATTTAATAACGGGATTTGTACAGCTGAGAAAAAATTCTTTAAGTTTTTCATCGTCAGGATTAAGTTTTCTCGTTGATTTACGCTAGACAGCTTGCATATTACCTGAATAATATTTTTTGATGAACGAGAAAGAAATATTAAAAATAAATGTTTAATATTTAAAAAATAATAATTTCAATATTTTTATATAATTTGAATATTTTACAACAGTATTCCATTTTATTTTCATTAACAAAATAGAAGAAATATTAAAAATAAGGATACATGGCACAGTGGATAAAGGCGTTGGTTAGATCCAGTGACAGGACCCAAAGATTGTGAGTTCAATACCCGGTTAAGGCAGTGGAGAACTTTCAGAGGGAAATTAACAGGAGATCACTGATAACTGACATCCATTAAAAACATGGCACGTGGAACTAGAACAGTCTACCCCAGTGGGCGAAATAAAGGGTTCAGTTCGACATTCCAACCACCTGAAGAAGGCCGGATTGTACAACAGCCGAAACGTTGTAATAAATATGGCGACAAAGATGAGGACAATAGTCCGAATAATGTAAATAGTGTACATAATACCTCATCTCAGAAATATAGACATAAAAAAAAATAGGTTTCAGGTAAGGTATTTTAATATGCAAACTGCCTTGCATTCAACAACGAGGAAATTTAATCCTAGGATGAAAAACTTTTCTATTTTTATTATGAGGCGGCCAACTTTGCAAAGACAATGATGTAGCCCTCCATGAAAAAAAAAAAACTTTGTCCAATTCTTGATTTCTCGGAACGCAATATTTTGGCTGAGGGGAAAATGAATAATTTAATAAATAAAGTAAATAAATAAAAAAAGTCAGTTTCCGAAATTAAATTTGAGAATTAATGAGTGGTTTTGGTATGCAGTTTTTTTCTCTCCCCTAAAGACGCACACAAAATAATATAAAAATTGTTTCTCTATTGAATTTTAAGGCGGGCTTCGTAGTCCAGTTGGAAACTGTGGCGGAGGAGACTGATGTTGAGCGCCACCAGTTGTCTGCAAACGGAAATGTTTTCATGCCTTTAACGGATTCTTCAGACGGTAATCTGGACGAAGCCTATCTCCACCTGGCACCTTGCACGCCGACACTGACCAATGAACAGTTCCTTATAACAGAGGTACAGTACTATAGTGAAAATGGCGACGGGACGGGAGACTATACCGACGAGCCTGTCAAAGAGTCCACAGTCTTTAAAGAACCTCTCACCTCAACGGAAGATTTGGTGCAAGCTGATCTCGGCGCTGGCGATGGTTTCGAAATTGATTTCATGAATAGTTCAATTGAGAATGACTTGAATTCTGATCAGGACGATAAGGGTATGTAACTTATATCTATATAAATTGTAAAAACTGACATTTTTCTTTTGCTTTCTAAGGTTAACAAATCTTGTGTCAAAACTTTAATCAGTCTTTTTTAAATAAAAAGACAAATTTGTGTTTCTTATAATAAAATAACATACACCAAAAATATTGTATATTTTCATCCGTTTTCTGTGCTATAATAATAATGTAAAAAGAACAATACACACTGATATGACAGATGTCACAGTACAGTCAAAAGCGATCTTTTTAATGAAATTAGTTAAAACTAAACGCTCCTAATTTCATCTAATGAAAAAAACGGCGAAAATTTGGCCAACTCATTAATCTTGAAGCGTGATAAATTTTCTTTCGCTAATTTTAAGGATTGCTGAAAATGTCTCTTAACTTCAGCTAAATAAATTCCCATTTATACTTTCTGAGTTGGGAGAATTGAAACTTGGATTTACTAAGATTAGTTTAATCTGATAAAAGACTACAGAGCTAATGAAGATCGAATTAAATTTGATTATGACAGTGTACCACACAAGTTTTGGCACCTTCAAGCCAGTATTGAGAGACAAACTTATATGTAAATATGCCTATTAGATGCCGCAGCCACAATATTTCTTCTCGCATTTGGTAGATCAGGTATGCTTGGTTGTACTGATCTTCCTACATGCCGTCAAGACCGGGTGTTTTTTTGGAAGAAGAGAAGAAAACAAACCAATGAATATATATATATATACATTAATAAAATAAAAACGATTTATTATATTGGCTTGTCTTACGACTTACTTTTCTTTCTCTTCCTCCCCTTTAATTTCTTTATTATATCTTATTTGGCCTTTCTATTTTTATAACTTTGCTTTTTATTCTTATTTTTCTCTTAACTACACTTAACAAAATACTGTATTGTGCTACTAGTGTCGTTTTGCGATGATCAGTGGTATTGCATATGAGTCCCATTTGAGTTTGGCCGTAGAGTATTGTGAGATCACAATTCTATTCGGTGTGGGCTAATTTCAAATCCAGTAGAGGTTAACGCTTTAATTTGAATAGAAACAAAAAAAACAAAAAAATCATTCTGGCCGCAAAATCTGATAAATGACCCTTATTATGTACTCCCCATATTCCATCACACTTTCTTCACTCACGAGTTTGTATCTCATTCAGACACGAAGATACCTATTATTAAGTAATTGCTAATTCAATGACTCTTTTACCATAACTAATATTATATGCGTGTGTGTATACGAATTATATATATTATATAAATCATATTATTAAATTAGATTTAATAAGTTTCATTACTTTCGACAAAAATTGCTCAATGCAATCATTTTTGTCGATAGTCTCGATAAGTGGTTGAAAAATTACGAAACTCTCGAATCGATCTTCGGTACGTATTAAACATTATTATATCTAATTTAATAATTATTGATCTAGTCTAATATTGATCACTTTACAAGCATTACTTCTGTTAAATCTGATATACGTTAAATGATCTAATTTTACGTTTATTAATTGGTAGCCTTATTTATTTTATGTTATAAAGTTACGCAGTGGAATCTCTTGTCATTTACCAACCAATGAGAGCTCAGCAATTCAGTTAAGAACTGAACCGCTGGAGTACCCACACGGATGATTTGACTCTAGTTGTGAAGGTTTGTGTCGAACAAGTTTCATTCATTTCAGAAGAATTTATAAGAGAAATGGTGCATAATATGCCACGAAGTCTCCAAATAAATAATTTTCATCAGATTTGAATTCAGAGTTTTTCCTTCTCCTAGACCTTCTGGATTCATGTATTTTCCAATGGTATTATTACAAAGTGAAGAAAAACAGAATCAACTGCAATTTGATCTCGGCTCGGCAATTTCAATTTCCTAGTCGAGATTAAATTTCACTAACTTTTTTGGTGAAGTTTTCTAGTCGGCCTATGAATGGTCGTAAAGTTGGATCAGAGCTAGGAAGAAACTTTCTAAGGTTCATTGTATTTTCAGTTCTCGTACACTCGACCATTGCTATAAAGAAACTAGGAAAAGTGGTGAGATAGAGAGGGTTATATATATATATATATATATATATATATATATATATATATATATATATATAAAGAAAGAACAGTAAGATATATAATCCGGTGTTCTTATGGATATTTTTATTTTTACAAAAAAATAAATTCAATGTAAATTTACAGAGCATTAATATTATAAATTAATTGATTTAAAATGTTTTTTTTCGCTACACAGTTCTAACCATGTTTCAAAATGGAAGCTAAAAGCCCCTGAATTTAATTTTGTAATTAAATTAAAGACATTAGTTCATTTCATCCTCAAGCGAATTTTGGAGTCTCCAAAATTCGCTTGAGGATGAAATGGAACTGTCTTTAATTACAAAATTAAATTCGGGGCTTTTAGCTTCCATCTTTGAAACATTGTTAGAACTGTGTAGCGAAAAAAAACATATTTTAAATCAATTAATTTATAATATTAATGCTCTGTAAATTTAGGAGAGAGGAGATATTAGTTTCATTCAGTTTATTTTTCCGCTCCTTTTTGTTACAGAAGATCAAGACCATGATGTAACAGGCAAAGCCCAGTATTTAGAACTTTGCCAAGAAATGGGCGTCCATCCTGTGTCCCGTTTCGTCCGTCATATTAAAAATGATCACATTTCCTTACCCTACTATGGTCTTGGGCAGGGTGCCATCAAACCTATAACGATAGTTCTTCGGGTAAGTTTTCTCTTCTTTCCTTCTTAAAAACCTGAAGTAATGATAGACATTGTTCAGTTAAGAGAGGGTTAAATATTGAGAGGTTGAGGATCACGTTGATGATGCTTGGTACCGTAAACTAACCAAAGAGAAGGAAAATCCCAAATTTTGAAATGGGAAGGAAACGTCTTCGTAAAACTTTGAAAAAAAAATATATCAATACCCATTTTTTTTTTTTTTTTTTTTCAAAGGTTTTATCTATTACATAGACAAAAATGAGACGGGGTCAATTTTAGATTCGTGTACCATCCCAATGTCGGGCTATTCAGAAATTGTCGGTTTCCATTTGTTATTACCACACTTGTGAAGACTTGCTTTTGTCTTTACCATTTTTGAGTAAATAGAAAGTATAACCGATGAGATGAGTTGCCTGGCACCAGACTTTGGTTAATTATTATTGGCTTTCAGTCTCGAACGGACAAAAAGTAAAGAATTTAAATTTAAACTGCCATTTTAATCGGACGGGTGTTAACTTGAGCTGCACGCCATCGGGTTTTTACAACTAAGAATAAAAAGAAAATTGCTGAAAGTTATTACAGCCGTCACGAAAATGTAACCAACCTTCCTAGACTCACAGCTATGACTCCACCCAGACGTGTTGAGTGATGTGTGTACTTGTCTTCCTCAAAGGAAAAAGAAAGCTGAGTAAGGTAGTTGGAAATAGGAATTTGTAATCTTCATCCTTTCGGTGGGCGGAAATCTATGACAAAGTGGAAAACATTTTTCGTGCGACGTGTTTTGTCTTTTAGGATTTCATCGGACTACAGTGATCTTTACGCCGATGCGATTACACATGCGCGTGAAGGAGGGGGACGCTTCAATTTCTTTTTTTTCTTTTTTTTTTAAACTAGCAGTTATACCCAGCTGGTCGATCAGAAATTGCGTTAAATTAGAATGGAGCAAAAACAGCATCATGTTTAGATGCAACAGAGTCTATCTTCAATTACTTTAAAGTACTTTCATTAAAAAAAACATTTTGAATTAATGCAGTTTCTGATATAGCAGAAGTAATGTGTTTATTCAATCGAAATTAGCCGAAGACATAAAGGGGTAAAACAGGCAACATAAAGACTCACTTCAGGCTACAATTATTTTGGAGTTTTTGAAATTCAGTTTGTCAGTGTGCTACCAGGGGTGTAAAAGAGGATATTTTTTATAAAGAAATTGTTAAGTTTGATGAAAATTGGTTGAAAGATCAACGAAAAATAAGAAAGAAACCAGTAAAAATCGTCATTTTTCGCTATTTACGCAGGTTTTCACTATATAGGTGGAGTCAATTATCAAATTAAATGACTGTTAAACAATCAACTTATTATTGGCTACAATTGAGTGAAGTTTGTATTAGATTGCTTGAAAATTCAGGCAGTTTTCAGTGTTGAAATCGATTTTTCGTATTTCGTGGCGTAGAAACAAAAATGAAGTATCGTTGAGCTCGTCATGATGTAAGTAACTTACGTGCTGGGTTTGAACGAAATCGAAATTAAAAAAACGTCGAATTTATCGATTTTTGATTGGCTTTATTGATTATTGATTTTTTTTTTAAATTATCGATTTTTTACACTAAGTACCTATCTCATACATCGTACAATGTATGTGCCAAGTTTGGTCTAAATCGGTTGGATGGATCTCGCGTGAAAAGGTATCAGACAGACACACAGACATCCTCTGTTTTATATATAGGGAGATATGTGTTTGGGTACATCTTAAATCTTTACTCTTCACTACTTCAACTATTTTTTTTTTATCTATATTTTCTTGTATGTCTTTTCTTTACGATCAGACCGTTTTTGCTGCACGCATCGTGGTTTGAAAACATATAAATCTGTAAAGGGCCTACCTTGTGGTTAAGATAGTTGTGTATTTTTCTACCACTATAAAACTAATTTTTTCGTCTTTGTTGAAATAATTTGGGTTTATTATTACGTTATGTAGTCAAAATGTGGGAAATTTGAGTTGAAAGATTGTATTGTGTCAGTTTTCTAAGTGGGAAAGAAGGTGCCTTGAAAATCATGATTTATAATTTTCAGTTTGGTAAATAGTCTCAGTGACGCAGGCATGAAAAGGGGAATCTTTTTTTCTCTCTCTTTTATTTGGTACTTTCTCAAATGATAGTAGGGTTGAGTTTAAGTTTCCCCGCCAAAAGAAAGAAAAAAAGGACAAAAAAATAAAAACGGCAAATAATTAAACTATACAATACTTAAGGAAAGGGGTTAAAATTAGGAACATTAAGATTACCTCCTCGGTTATCCATCGAAACTGCAATCCACCGAAATAAGAAAAGAAGTCAGCCCCCACCGCGGGCCATTTAAAGATAGTTCACGCAGCGGATTGGTTGTTACAAACATCCAATCGGATGTGCGGAATATGTGGTCTCTCTTCGTCTAATTCTTTAAAAAGGCCAGAGTAGCTGTTAGCGTTTAATCAAGAGGGGGAATCAGGGATTGATCTCTCCTGATTGGGTCGATTTGGTGATGGGGAGTACGATGTTGAAAGACCCGAAACTCCCTGATGAACCAAGTCAAAAACATCACTGACAACCCCCTTGGGCGCCTACTTAAAAGCGTATTTTTGAATTATGGAATTAAAATATCGAATGTTCTTTATAGGATCATGGAGGAATAGATTAATTCACTTTCCCGATCTACTTGAAGCGACCCATCATAACAACTGGGTTAATCTTTCGGTTTTATCGTCAAACTTGACGTTTCGAATTGAAAGAATTTAGAAACTGAAATCTTCATTATTATTTTTCATAGAACAGCTTAACTCTTGAAAAGCTTGATTTGACCGAAAATCAGATCGACGAAGAAGGAACACAGTTCATCAGCAAAATGCTAGAAGAGAATGACTTTATCACCGACTTGGTAAGTGTGGCCTTTTCTCAGAACGTTGTCCTTATTATTAAATTAATGGAATAAATTCATTGGATTCTTTAGTCTTTCTACAGTTTGGTACGAGAGTCAGTTTCTTTGAGCATTTACTCAATGGAAGCCTGAAAACCTTGTGACTATTTGGTTGGTTGATTTATTAAGCAGCATATCAGCCTCTCTGCGTTATTTAATGCCAAAATCAAAATATTTTGTATGTAATTTTATGCTATCAACTACAGTTATTTTGTTCATACCTTTACTCTGTTCGTACGAAAAGGTTTAACTGTAAGCCTACCAAAACGATTCCTTTAAGTCCTTTTTATTGATGGACTTAAGATATTGGAAATGGTCGAGATAAATAAATGCCTTTTTGAAAGGTCGATGACATAGTTGCCTGATAAGTTGCCTGGCAAAGTGAATTAAAAAGAGAACTTTCAAACAAATTACCCTTCAAATTAGACTTCTGAAAACAGTGGAAAACCATATGCAATTAGTTAAAAGAATGGATGAATTATTTCAGGAATAAAAAAATAGACTCTATGTTTGCTTGTGTGAGCTGAGAATGGTTGGTTGAATGATTTTGTTTAGCGGCATATCAACCTTTATAGGTGATTTAATAAAGAAATTTAAATATTTCATATGTAATTTTATTTTTCAGCTACAGATATTTTGTACATAATTTTATTCTTTCAGTGTAAAACGTATATTTTTAAATATATAGTTTGTAGTTTATAAAATGTATAGTAGATAATTTTACTATAAAAATGTATTTTTATATATTTTTTTAAATTTTGCATTGATTGTTATTTTGCTATGAAAAGTCTATTGTTGGTCATTTTATTATAAAAATGTACTGTTGATTTTTGTTTGAGGGTTAATTATTTGCCCATAGCTGGGGCCCTAACAGCTGCTACCACCCTGGATCAGGATGGACCTAGGAACAACAGCAATTAAGAGATAGTTCCATGCTCCTCAAAACTTCCACTCACGCGATCAGTGAACTTGCTACCGGGTGTTGTTTATCGTCCTACCCAAGACAATATTATTATTATTATTATTATTATTATTATTATTATTATTTTCATTTTGGTTGTTTCATCAGAGATGCGAGTTTAAAAGAACCATTGTATAATAATTGTCCAATTCATGTTCCCCAATTCAACTGAAAAATTTTCTTCTGGCAGAATCTATCATACAACCAAATTGGATCCGTGGGGGTTAATCACATAGCAAATATGCTTTGCCACAACACAGGACTCCGACATCTGAACCTCTCAGGTATTATTATTATTATTATTATTATTAGTATTTCTATTTTCAACAGTTTTTTCTTTACAGCTAATGTTTTTTAATCATCCACGTATTTTGATAAACAACCAACAGTCCATTTTTTCAACAAGCACTGTACCAAATCCGATGTACAATGCTGGTTTTTCGTAAAACTATTCACTATGTCTTAATCGAATCAAGTTAACTACTATATTAATATCATATATATATATATATATATATATATATATATTTATTCGAATGTAATGAGAACGAAAATAATATAAATTGTAACGTTCACTGCATTAATTCAAAAGAGGGCTCAATCCCAAGAGTAGAGCAATAATTATTTATTATACTTTTTTCATACAGACAAAAACAATTTTTCCATTTTGGTTCTCACCAGTCTATTGTGATTAACTAAATTTAACCGAAAAGGAGTTACATCTTTGTAGTGAAAATTGTTTTGTCTGTATAAAAAAATCATAATTATATATATATATATATATATTATAAGTGAACATTGAAGTCAGCCGATTAGAGGAACGATAGTCTGTTTCTGGTGTCCTGACCATTGCGTCTAGCATGAAACAGCCTGTCACTTCTAAATTGTTGACCAATGTTATTTTTATATATTTTTTATTTACACACGCTCTATCACTGATATTGAGCACTTTATCCATAAATATAGCACACCTTAAGACTATATATATATATATATATATATATATATATATATATATATATATATATATATATATATATATATATAGTCTGTTCAGAAAGTATCGCGACTGGTGCTATAAAACAAAAACAGAATATATCGATTCGGCATTTAATCTCCTTCGAAGTAGCTCCCCCACCCCATCCTGAAGCCACACACTTTATCTACCGTCGTTTCCATTGATGGGAGCATTCCTGGAACTCCTTTTTGGGGATAGCAAACAGCTTCCTCACCGACGTCTTGAAATCTTGTTCCTTTCAAATGGGGTTTAATTTTTTGAAAGAGAAAAAAGTCGCAAGATCTGACGAATAGTGTGGTTGTTGGGCCTGGGGAATGCTCCCCTTGGCCCAAAACTGCTGTACAAGCCATAGTCACTTATGGAACCTCTGTGGTGTGATGAGACAAACACACTCGGTACCCTTTCCTTCCGGGTACTGTTATAAACAATGGAAGTGAGTGAAAACGTTATAACTTAGTGGGCATGCGCGATGGAGTTCAAGGTCAATCGTTGCCAAGCGGTTTACGTACTTTACCTCCACTACCATAGAAACAGTCCCGATACTTCATCGTATTTCGTTTATATATTTATGGGTTAAAGTACTCGATATCAGTGATATAACGTATGTAAATATAAAAGCGGACATTGAGATCAACACCCAGCGGCGACAGTCTGTTTTATGGCGAAAAACAGATCAACATTAAAAGCTATTTTCATTATATATATATATATATATATATATATATTGCCAAAATAGCGAACCACATCCGTACAGATGAGTGCATGGCGATTTTTAACATTGGTTTTTCAACGCACACAGACAATACGCAAAAAAACTTACACCAATGATAAGTGCATAAAAAAGAAAAATCGACAAATATTGTCAGATATCCGCTGAAGATGTGGATGGACGGGTCCGTCTAATATATATCTAAAGTCAGGATGCTAAATAATATTAAGTAACAATCTTTTAATGATATACAGGGTGTCTATAAAGTTCATGTGCACTTTCAAAATTTATAACTTTATTTGTATTTTGATAGAAATAATTTGTAAAAATTATTAAAGAAGTAAATCTATATTTTTTAAGGTTTTATTGAAATTTTCCAGATGTCCTCCATTAGCAATACAAAAAGTAATACGATTTTGCAGTTCACGGAAAACATTTGCCAACTGATTTACAGTAATGCCTGAAATCACATTAGTTATTTTAGCTATACTTAAAACTAGCTACATTAAACTTTATAACATTTTTTACAGATTATTTCTATCGCAAATACAAATAAAGTTATATTTTTAAAGTGCACATGGACATCACACACACACATATATATATATATATATATATATATATATATATATATATACTAATAAAATTTGATTAAAAGACCACAGTATTTTCTTGCTTTTTAACTAACTTCCCTTGTTTACGTACAAGAGATTATATGCTTGGATCAAATGAATACATATATTGTGAAAATATTTTTGATCGATCGCTTTCAACGATACTTGTGGACATTTTAGAAGTTCTTTGACCAATATCCTTAATCATAATCTGAAGGGGACAATTACCAATCGAACATTACAAATATCAATAATCTTTTTTTTTTTTTTTATTATTTCACCCCAAGCAAGGTGGGAATGCCGCTAGTACTCAAGGGGGTGACAGGGAATGAATGTGAGAGAAAAGACTGGGTATTGAGGAAAGGACAAAAAATGAACGGGGTTCAAGAAGATAGATGTTGATTGACGTTGAATTTAAACTTTTGAAGATTGTAGTTATAATACGAAGCAAGTAAACGTAAGCGAGTTCCATGGGTGGAATGTGCGAGAAAAACTGTTGGAGTAGAAATGGCGGCTGCATTTAGCTATTTCAACAGCAAATGGGTTGGACCTAGTTGCCAATCTAGTAGCACGCTTAAATTCTTTAGTTGAGGCATCAGGGGGAAAAAAGCTCACCAGAGCAGTTACCATGAAAATACTTATAGAAAAGACAGAGGGAAGCCACGTCACGTCGGGAAAAAGTGACTGAAGTTGAGATGCCAAATCAAGATCGATTACATTATCACCAAAAATGTAAAAAAAAAAAGATTTTTTTAATCTCTTATCATTAATAAAACCGTTTACTTTCGCTCACTACTATTAAATCATACTTATTTTGTCAACAAGTTTTCGTACCTTTTGAGAGATTTGTCTCCCTTGATTCACAAGCATCAAATTCTATGTTGTATATGCAGTTTTCTGTGTTGTTATTGTGAATACGACGGTTGCACGTTACACACTCATTGGTGTCTCATTGCCAAGTGAATGAATCCAGAAGTATGTCTGTGCATGCATGTGCAGTAAGGTCCCTTCTAATTGATTGTCAAGTTACATCAATGTCGCTATTAATTCCCGATAATTTCCAGACAGACTAGGTACGTACGCTTTCATATGAACATGTACATTTCTATAAACGCTTATTAAATACGCTAAGTAAATTCTCCATTTTAAAATTTTCTATACAGAGAATTGTTAATGTCACAACAAACTGCAATAACTAAAAACCTATACATTAGATTTGTTTATGTATATATATATATACATATATAAACATTCGCTCGCCGCTGGAAAGGTGCTTTTTGAATAGCATAGAAAACAAATATATTAAAAAATTACTGCTTATCTACTTAATTAAATAACTACTTATTTATTTATTATATTGGAATTATTTAATTTTACAGAGTTCGGGCAAATATCAAACAAAAATTATAACATGGAAAAGAATAGTCGTATTTAAGTTTTAATTTAAGTTTTTTTAATGGTATAAACTAGGGGAGAAAAACGCGCAATACTATTTAAAATGTAACGTAATGCATAAAGTTACTAATTTTTACTAATACTATGAATTATTTAATACTTATATATGTATATACTAAAAGACCAAACAGGGATTCAGATCCAAAATGGTTACCCTGAGTTTCACGCTAAGTGATCGTCAGACGTCAAGAACCAGATCCTGTTGTAACTGATGCTCGCTTAGCAATTAAAATAGTTACGATTTGGATCTGAATTCCTGAGTACTGATTGATTTGTTAGTGTTACTGCTCTATCTTAGTCTAATTTCTAGAGACATTGAGTACGTTGGGCTTTTGCTCAGATAGGTGTCTGTCTTTTTTCTTTTTCTGTTTCCTTCTTTGTCTTTTATCTGGTTTCTTGATTTTTATTCCTTAGTCAATATTTTTTCGTTTTCATGATTTTTTCCTTTAGCAGGCTTAGCGTTATTTTTTGAGACTTTACATAACTCGGTTTATATACACACACACACACACATATATATATATATATATATATATATATATATATATACACACACACACACACATATATATACAAAACACACATATATATATATATATATATATATATATATATATATATATATATATATATATATATACATACACACACACACACACACACATACATAGACATATATAGAAACAAGATGCCTGATAAGTAAGATAATATATAGTTTACTGCTACCAGCAAACAAATATTTCTCCTCCCGATGATGGCCATTTTGGTCGAAACTAGTCGAGGAATCTAAATGAAATAATAAAAAAAAAAAACGAAAGAATATTAATCTACAACCCAGTGTCTAAAGATTTTAATTTTTTTTTAATTTTTAATATTTTTTTTATTGTTCAATATATATATATATATATATATATATATATATATATATATATATATATGATCATCTTACTTATCAGGCATCTCGACTTCAGCCACTTTCTCACCGACCTTACGTGGCTTCCTCTTGTGTTTTTTTTAAATATATTCATGGTAATTGCTCTGATGAGTTTTTTTTCCTGGTTCCCTGACTACATGAATTTAAGCGTGCTACTAGATAGGCAACTAGGTCTCAACGTTTTTACTGTTGGAAAACCGCCACTTCTACTCCAACATTTTCTTTTCTCGCACTTCCCGCCTGTGGAACTCCCTTCTGATTTGTTGCTTCTGGGATAACTATAATCATCAAAAATTTAAATTCAACGTCAATCACTATCTTCTGTCTTCTTAAACACGTTACCTTTTTTATCATTTCCACAATCCTCCCCATTTTCAGTCTTCTCATTCACTTTCACACTCTGTAATCCCCCACACCCTTGCGTTTTTGTGGCATTATCGTCCTGCTTTGGGTGAAATGATATATATATGTTTTTATTTTTTATTTTTTTTAACACGAATTCCAAAATTATGAACATGTCTACCCGTATGGGCTGAAATCGTCACTTGCCTTTTTATTGTCGTCTTTTCATCACTTGGTAATAAAGAAACATTTCGAGTGTAATTATAGCGAAGAAAACGGCGACCTACCTCGTCAAACCAAGCGACAGCGTGTCGCATGTATCCTACGACGGAAAATGTGGCGAAAAAGAAAATTACTTACCCCACAAAAAAGACACGTATTCCGCATGACATGCTGAAGAAGGAATATTTTAGAAACAAGTCAGTCGCTATGAAAGGATTTTGATATGCAAAAATTGAACGTCCTCTCCCAGTTGTCGACGAATGAAAAAAAATGCTTGGCCAATGAAAGCAAAAGGGAAAATAAAATTGGGGTACTTTGGCTGTCGCGTTCGTCGGAGAGTGAGTTATTTTTCTGACTCGTTACGTGCATTATGATTTGTGAGATAGTCCCTGCGAATCGAGTTTTCGGTATTTCTTTCTGCCCCCGATATTCGAGTCTGAACTTACAGTGATTTATTCTCTGCGTTGTGGAAGTAATCTGCGACAAATATTTCCTTTGCAATCCCAGATCGCTTACAGTATTCTATAAATATCATTCCCTTTTTTTTTATTTTATTTTCAGGAAACAACCTCGAAGATGATGTTATCGAAACACTGATGGAAGCCTTAGAGGTAGGTTATACGTGCATCCGTCTGCATATGCGAAGAGAACGGTCAGTCAGGGCCTGAAAATAGGCAAAAATTAAAGTTAGGGGGGGGCAGGAAATAGTGAAAACGGCTTTCATCTCGCATAGCTACGCCTGTTGTAAAGCATCGATCAGCCGTGATAATTTGTGCTGAAATACTAAGCGCTCTAAAAGCAAGGGAATCTGTTCCGTGAATATTTTGCGTTCAATACACTTTGAACGTTTTACGAGACTCAAATGATCAACTAAGTACACGTCGTTGTAGCATAAGACTAAAAAGATGTTATCGTGTGCTGACGTGGATTCAGTCAAGGAATGCATATATACGAAGGTTGCTGAAAATTCATTGGCGTGACCAAGATAACTATCCAAAATAAAATCTAATGTTAAGTGTTTTGATAAGATTTTTTAAAGAAAGTGGATCAAGCCGAAAACTTTTAGTAGCATTTCGTTATAAGGTTACTTGAGTATCAGCATATAGCAATGTGTTTTTTAGACGTATGCTCAATTATTACTAAATGCGAGACTCGTACTTTGATTGCACCATCCTTGACCTTATTTGGTCAAGTCAAATTGCTGAATATATTACGCTAATCTGGAAAACTTGAATTGGCTGTTTTAGGATTTTTTGATGAATAAAGGATCTGAGTCGTACTGACATTGTATCTGAAGCAGTATAATGTACAAGAGATTAAGATCTTCAATCATATAAAACAATGGTTAGACCAGATAGAATAATGAAACTGATATCAAAATGAAGACAATTTATTTCTCTTCAAAATTAAGTTTATTTTTCAACATTGCTATCGTTTAGTGTGACACGTTTAGAAAAAATACTATCTACTTTTTAATTCCATCCTTGAAGTTATTTTTGTCTTCTTTTGATCTACTTGCACATCGCAACTTCAACTTTGACATCATATGAAAGCTTTCAACATCTTTCAATTTCGGGACAACTAAAATGCGAAGCTGTTACATCCGGGCAGTACAGAACGTGTTCAACAACATTGAATGTCAGGCTTCCCAACGTTTGTTGACTGTAATACGGCATTGTGCCGTAGTGTTGCAAACAAAAAAAAACTCCTTCTCAGCCGACGTGTTTTCTGAATGCTTCCAAGATTTCGTTCATTTAAATGACTGTAAATTTTGAATGACACGCAACGTTCTCCAGCTAAAATTTCTATCATTAATCGCCGCTTTAGACTTAATTCAGACATAGTACTCATGTCTAACATTATTACTCAATATTGCCACACAGCACGTTCGAACAGGGCTTCATGTTCTGGAGTTAAGCAACGTAGAGTTTGGTCAGTATCTAGGTTTGTGACCGCGTACTGTAAGCTTGAATGTGCAGGTAGTGCAACGGATAACGGCTCGGAATTTGGAAACCGGAGTGTCGAGTTCTAATTCAAGTCGGGTTTTTATATTCACTTACGTGTAAATACCCTTGGGTACACCACTTCTCCCCACCAAGTTATTGGTTTATTAGCAGAACTTGTGTCAGTAAATCATTATCAACAAAGAAATTCTTACAGTCTAAAAATATTTTCTGGCTTTAAATAACCTGAAAAAGTTTGATAAAGTGTAAAAAAAACAAAACAAAAAAAAAACTAATTAGTCTTATTCACATTTTTTTTAGTATCGGGTGAGTTCATGTCGGGTTACCTCCTCCTAATTTTCGAAACCGTTACTAGGGAACACTTTCCGGCAATATAAATACACGGCGATATCTTTTCTCGCTCTCTTTTTCTCACTTTTTTCCGCTTACTCGTCGACATGTAAATTTCTCGCGGAAGAACGAGTTCACTTTTTCACGCATGCACCTTTCACTTCATTTTTTCTAGGACTTTCTCCTACACAAAACTACACATACACAAACAATTCATTAACTTAAATGTTTTCTTCATTCATGTTCATTGTTCAGTAGCACGCAACAATAATCCATTGTACGATATGTAACCCTTTATTGTTGATACATTATCATTTGTATATACCCATATATATTGGTTCTTGTTGGTTCTTTACATTTTTTTACGTGGACTTATATTCAGAGTCTGCCATGTTTGTTGTGGGCATTTCAGAATACTGATTGTCAAGACGGGCAGGAAAATATGCCTCATTTGATAGATCGGCTTAATAGAAATTACCTAACATTATTTGATTATATGCTAAGCTAATCATAGTAAATGTCAAAAACTGCCACTGCTGAAGGTTTACAAAGTTCTGCTTTTTTTATTTATTTACAGAGAAATAAATATCTGGAAGAAATCAATTTGAGCAAAAATAAATTCAGTGAAAAAGGTGGACAAATATTTGGCCCGGCTCTTTGTGAGTAGAACTTCTTCGAAATTTTGAAAAAAATGTTTTAGAAAAATGACCCTTGTGTCAGGACTGTTATGTTTTGTTTCTGGCAACTTTTTTCAATTTAAATGCAGAAGCAATGCTGATTGGTCAGTCTCGTTGCAGTGATCATCAATATCAAAGTAACATTATTGTAGCGGCTCGGATTGAGGAATCGGAGAGCCGAGTTCGAATTCCAGTCGGATACATTACATTCACTTACGTGCTAATACCCTTGGGAAAGTTATGAATCCTCGTCTTCTTTCTCCTGCTATGGGTTCTATACCGGGTTCTATAACCTTGGATGGCAACTGGTCTACTAAAGTAATGGCAACCTACTGCGGTAAAAAAAAAATCTGCCTCGTGTATCGAAAGCACATAACTGACTTCAAACGAAAGGCGCGCATTATAAATATGATAGCTTGCTCTTACAGTCAAAGAATTCATCCATCACTCACTTAACACTTTTTACGCTATTATTTACCCAATACAAGAAGCCATCAAGATAGTTTAGTTTGTATATCATTTAATGCCGAAATTTTCTTGTAAACTTTTTGGTGATTTCATTTTTTTCTTTTTTTTTTTTTTTTTGCTATTAAAATCTATTGGTGTGGAGAAAATTCTGGAAATATTTTTTTTTTACTATTAAAATCTACTTCTGGTAAAATTTGCTATAAAAATGTATTAAAATTTCATAGTGTTTTGACCCCAATTTGGGGGTTCACTATTTACCCATAGCTGAGACCCTAACAGGTGCTACCACCCCGATTAAGGTAGCGGAGTTGATTGTAGATTATGAGGATATATAATATAAATCACGGTTAACTCTGGAGTTGATGCGTTGAAGATTGTAGTGATCGCGGAAGCATCCTCTCGGGAGTCTGTTCCACAAAGAAGCGACCCATTTCAAAAAGTTGTCCGAATGCATTTAACCAAAGGGACATAAGATATTTGGACAATCTACTGATGGATATTTACAATCTTCTATTCCCTCATGTAGAATAGAGCGTGACTTTATATATTTATCGATCATATAGCCTGACATACCCTTCTTAGTAATTAGCTATTCCATTTTCATGATAACAGAAGCATTATTCGATGCTTATAAGTGAACATCATATTAGTAGGAGAATGCAGGTTACTAGTATGTTGCTGCTGTCTTTTTTTCTCTTGTTTGTTGTAAACCTTTAATAGATTATAAAACTAGAGTTTTTTCTTATATGCGACAATGGAGTTAATCACATCAATAACAGCCCTAGATTATTGACAGTACGGGTAAATTAGTATATAATATTGAATTATACATTTTCTGTATGTTTCGTTGTTTCACTGTAAGTAACTTATCACATTAAAGGAAAATATATATTAGGTTGAGTCATAAGTAATTTCCGTTTTTGGCATCCAAACGTAATGACGAATGGGTCATTCTAATTAATAGATTCTTAAATATATCAAAATGGCTTACATACGACAGTGTTCAATGCAGTAGGCAAGACTGGCAAGGATAAATCTCCACAATTGACCCCCCAAAAGCTGGGCTCCTATCTATCTATCTCCTGTTTATCTATCTATCTATCTATCTCCTGTTTATCTATCTATCTATCTATCTATCTCCTGTTTATCTATCTATCTATCTATCTATCTCCTGTTTATCTATCTATCTATCTATCTATCTCCTGTTTATCTATCTATCTATCTATCTATCTCCTGTTTATCTATCTATCTATCTATCTCCTGTTTATCTATCTATCTATCTATCTATCTCCTGTTTATCTATCTATCTATCTATCTATCTCCTGTTTATCTATTATATCTATCTATCTATCTCCTGTTTATCTATCTATCTATCTATCTATCTCCTGTTTATTATCTATTATCTATCTATCTCCTGTTTATCTATATCTATCTATCTATCTCCTGTTTATCTATCTATCTATCTATTTATCTCCATTTATCTATCTATATCTGTTTATCTATCTGTTTATCTATTATCTATCTATTATCTCCTGTTTATCTATCTATCTATCTATCTCCTGTTTATCATATATCTATCTATCTATCTCCTGTTTATCTATCTAAAATCTATCTATCTTTGTTTATCTATCTATCTATCTATCTGAATTTTATTCATCTATCTATCTGTTTATCTATTTATCCTCCCTGTTTATCTATTCTATCTATCTATCTATCTATCTATCTCCTGTTTATCTATTCATCTATCTATGTTTATCTATTATCTATCTCCTGTTTTATTATCTATCTATCTCCTGTTTATCTATCTATCTATCTCCTGTTTATCTATCTATCTATCTCCTGTTTATCTATCTATCTATCTCCTGTTTATCTATCTATCTATCTATCTATCTCCTGTTTATCTATCTATCTATCTCATTGTAAATAATGCTATATATATATTTGAATAAAATGTAATTGTATATTATTTTGGGGGAAGATTTTGAAAAATTAAACTTCAAATATAATAAAACCGGTCGTAAAATGATGAAACGTCGAGTGTATACCTTAGAAGACCGTGAAAACCATTGAGATGAGGAGTTGTATTCTACTAAGAACATGTGGATATTTTGGAACTGGCAGACGATACTTAATTTTTGACGCGATTTTTTGCACTTCTGTTAAAATCAAAACAAGTTTGAAAAGGTTTTCCAAAACCTAAAATTAGAAATAAATACTTTATTGAAAACCTAGTCCCTGATTTTAAACATTCCATATTTTCATATTGCAAAATCAACACGATATAAAGAATCCCACAGATAACGTCGTTGTCACCAAGCTGCTGTGTTTACGCCAACATCACGTTGAAACACCGTTTTCCCTACGATCACAGAAGTTAAGCAACATCGAGCCTGGTCAGTACCTAGATGGGTGACCACTTGGGAATACCAGATGCTGTAATCTTGCATGTGCGGTGGTGTAATGGATAATGGCTCGGAATTGTAATCAGAGAGTCTTGTTCCAATTCCCGTTTGGTTCATTATATTCACGTACAAGCAGATACCCTTGGGAAAGATATGTATCCACCTATTCCCCCCTTATGGGTTAATTAATAAGACTTATATCATTAAACCATTACTATCTCAAAAAAATTCTTACAGTCTAAATTTTTCTGGCTTTAAATAACTTGCAAAGGGTTGACAAGCTGTAGACAACGAATCAATCAACCAGGCTGTTGTTACAAGGTTATGGGTAGTGTGTTGAACAAAAACTAGGGGAGTTGTGAAAATGGAAAAATAAAAGAGTGAAATAAAACACGCTAGAAATATTTATTCTATAGGAAATATCTTTCGTGTAGAGAAAATTTCAGGCGATATCCTTAAGAGTTTCTGTAAAGAATGAAATAAAAAGTTGAACTTACTCTGCTGGTGAATTAAAATGAATAATAACTGTCTACGCCACGTGCGTCTATTGCATATTTTTCCCTAATTTTTAGCGACCCTTCTCGGTGTCGGCCTGCAATGAAAGAGAACTAGTCTCTTCCGTTTCACAATACGCATGCTCACAGTATTGTGACGTCCCCACCCCCGGTGTCGCTGCGCCAAATGTGACGTCTGCCTAGCTGCGTCCGTCGTGCTATCCTGTCCTGTGACGACCAACTGGTTTGAAATTGATCGCGGCACAAATTTGACGTTCTAACTTTTTGCTGATTTGAATGGGAATCTGGTTAGATTCGTTATCAGCCTTGTCGTTCCCAGCTCGCCTCCAACGTCTGGTTACCGAAGTAACTGTTTTGATTTCTAGTCTAACCTACCCACGTTGTAAATTGATCTTAGGCAGACAAAAACAATCAGTCGCTGGGCCGTAATGCAAGTCGAATTCGAACAAGGGCGATATCGCACACGTGTATGTAAAATAAAATAAAATAATAACTCGAAAAGTTCAAATGTGTTAAAAAAGGATAACAATATTTTATATCTGGTTGCTGAATATAAGACTGCGTCTTCTTCCCAACCCGCTATATGGATTCGTGACACTTTGTGTTTGTCAGGCGAGTCTTAACATCTTAACTTGTTTTGTTTTTTTAAGAAACTGGTTTTTGGTGTATCTTCAGGGGATATTCGTAAAACTTGTTTTGGTGGTGTGAGTCTAAGTCGTTCTTCAAAAATAAATTGTTCTTGGTTAGAAGTTGAGTTCGGAATTTGCGTGGAATCTTTAGTCAGCTTTCTGCGAGGCGGGTCTTCAGAGCTTTCAGCTCACTGCAACTAACTTCTAACTTAATTGGAACTGAACTGAACTGCTTTTTTCGCTCGCTGCGACTCTGCTTATATGGACGCCGACCAAAACCGGGGTGGGCTTGTCGGGGTTTGAGGTTCCTTGATAATTCTAAATCCACAATCCATTTTCTTTGTTTTCGGTCAGGAAAATTTATTATTTTCCATTTTGGAAGTCTTTTCGTCCTCCCACCTTCTTCTGTTCTCATATTGGTATCTCACCATACCCTTCAGAGGGCGTCAACGGGTTTCCCTTCTCTCTCACAGTGGCATCTCACACCTATCCCTTCAATGGGCGTCAACAGGCCTCCCCTCCTTCTTCACATGATTACCTTCGCCAACGCTCTCGCTACCATTCAGCCAATGGGCGCTCAGCAGCGTGGGTGTGGCCAGACTAGCCTCGGTTTAAAAAATCTTGCTCAAAAAAAAAATTTTATTTTTTTTTTTTTTTTTTTTTTTTTTTTTTCTTTCTTCGATACGACCTCAAACCCTAGACTCTTTATCTTTAACCGAATGTCACCTGGAATTCGTCAATCGAGATTTTCGCCAGCATCAAGTGGGTGGTCATCAGACGTATTGCAATCCTGGCGCCAACCATTGATCCGATAAAAATAGTCCCCCGACACAAAACAGCCGAATTTCAAATGACAATAAATTCGTCAACGAGATCTTTTCAAAACCAAATTATCAAGTGGGTGGTCAATTGGAAATTTCGCATTTTTCATTTCTATTCCCCTTAAAATAATTTCGCCACCATTGCCAATTTGGACACAAAACAGATGCCTTTTTCAAACGACTTTCCCGTAGATAACTAATGGTTTTTTTTTTTTTTTTGTTTTGTTTCCAAATGGACATTTTCGGTTTTTTTTTTTTTTTTTTTTTTTTGCCAAAGTTAATTTTTATCTATTTAGAATTTCTCTGAGATTATTTTTTCAACCATAAATTTTTCCCCGCCCCGTAAATAAATCAGATTAATTTAGTATCTTCCTTTCTTCGACAATGGAAATAAAAAATTTTACCACGCGACAATTTATAAATAAAAAATAACTTTTATTCTTAATGTCTTTTTTCGTGATGGCTTCTTATCACCTAAATTTAATTCTCGTCATTTTTCTTTTTTTTTTTTTTTTTTTTTTTTTTTTTTAGCAAGTCAAATAGTGTATCCTATTTATTTTTTTGCAATTTACCTTCAAAAAAGGTTTTATTTGCCGTTGATATGGTTTTTCACGCATACGTGTTTAGAAAAAAGGTTTAACGATTTTTTTTTGTTCGAATTAATGATGAATAGATTCCTCAAGGTGAATTTATTTTTTTAACTCTCTAGGTTTTTGTCAGTTGGAAATTTAATTTCCAGACATATTTAGTTTATTTGGTGGTGGTTTGACTGCAATGTAATTGAATTTTTTTGTCTTGTCAAGTTTATTTCAAAATAATATATGGAATCTTCAGGAATAATTGTTTTATATTAATACAGGTTTAATCAGTCAATAGCAAAATGAGTTTAATAATAAAAAATCATTTTTCTCTACAGTAAAATGTTTATTGGTCAAATACAATTTTTTTTTACGGAACCTGCACTAAGTTGTCATTTCATTTGTGCAAAACACCGGTTCTCGTTCGATCACCGAATTAGAAAAATGTTTGTCCTGCCAGAAATTAGTACTTAGATGGGGAAAAAATACCTGTTTAACGTGGTGGTACTGTAATATCTCAACTTTTTCCAATTATTATAAATATGATTGTAATGGATTCAAATGGATTTTGAACTTATTTTGTCCGGAACGATTCCTTTTGCGATGCCACTCGTCAATCAATGTAAAAATAAAACAATTTACCTAACAATAAAAATTTATTAAAAATAAAAAGGAGACTGCATTTATAACCGGCAAAACATTTGACAAAACAATGTAAAGTGACACGGAACTATAAATATTGATATATATATATTTTTTGTCATAATTATTTATTTAAATATTTAATGGATATATAATTTTTCTATATATACAGGATTATTACTGCTTTCCAATATGAATTTAGGGTATTATTATTGGATATGTTATGTCTATGGTATACTAGATGCATGAATATATAAATGCGAATTTTTAAATATATTCTTTATGTTAACAAATTGTTTTTTTTTTTTTGTCAAACAATTTTTTTAGGGATTGTACCATCATGTGTATATAAATCAGACATGCTTTTTATTAATGAATTTTGACATCCTGTGTGACATGTACTCTTGTACAAAGGAGGCACTTGTTTCAGTTAATAATAGCGGCTCGGATTGAGGAATTAAAGCCGAGTAAAAATTCCAGTCAAATCCATTAAATTTTTTAAGCCATATTTTGGAAAGTTAGTAAAAATAATTTTTTCTATAGCTAGTAATCATTAATGTAGCTAATTCTTCGCCTTGAATGTTATGTGTTGTATTGCAGAAAAAATTGGTTTTTATTTAATAGAAATGACATTGGTAATGGGCATGGAATTTCTTTTAGTCTATTTGTATAAAAAGATATATGATTTTGTTTATAGTATTGTTAAATATATATATAATGACTGATAAAGGATATATAGATATATATTTTGTTTTCATTAAAAACTGTTTATAATTAACTTTTTATTTATTGACTAATATTTAATTCAATTTTCTTTTGATAATTTGAAGAGATCTAGAATAAAATTATACCGGCCTAATTTTCTTTGGTCATTTTTCATAGAAAATATTCCTTTTTTCGATAGTTTTTCATACAATCGTATAGGATCGAAAAAGGTTAATTTATTTGACATAAATTTTTTCGACTTTTCATCAAATTATAGGAAAATTTCAATTTCGAACGAAGTACAATTTTTTTTCTTTCTCGTAAATTTTCAATTTTAAAATATATCTTTATATATATATATATATAAATTTAAATATATGTTTTATTAAAGAATAAAAAAGATAATGCGTTAAAAATTGATGAAAAATGTCGTAATCTTTTGAAAATTTTGCCGTTAAAAAACTTTTCTGCCTTCATCTCTCAATCATTAAAACATTTTATTTTGATACTTAATGATCAGAGAACCCATAAATTCAATGACCTTTCTTGAGGTCATTGAAAGGTAAAGGCTTTATATCTATCGAAAGGAAAGGACTCAAGGTTCGTACAAAATTAAACCAATCTTTATCCAATTTTAAATGTTTGATGAAGAAATTGTTTGGAAAGAAGAACAAAAATAAAAAAAGAAAAAAAAAAAAACCACTATATTATTTCTAAATTATATTTCATATTATTTTGCTATTTTATTGCAACATTCAACTTGATTTGGATTGTATATCCAATATTCTTCAATGGTTATCATAAGCATTAAAAGGGTTTTTATATAGGGATTTTCCAAAAATATAGCTCGGATGTTCATCCAGTAGGATCGAATCGTTCATAACTTTCGTAAATGTTCAGATTTAAAGCGTTCCATTTAAATTTATTTTAAAAAATTACATTTAATTTTTGTTTTTTGCATAATATTTATAGAACATTTAATTTTTTTTTTTTAAAATTTATATAGAAATTTTGCATTTTTTTCTCATTTTTAATTTAATTTTTTCGTTTTTTTTTTTTCATCGTTATTTTATTTTCGTATGAAGAAATGAATATATATAATAAATATATAGTTAAAAAAAAATAAAATATTTTTAATGGATTTTATA